AAGGGGTGGGCGACGGCTAGCGCACCACACTCCTCTCCTTAAAATCCCAACAATATGTGGTGGCGGCGTGCCGTCCTCCCATCCCTCCTCTGGGTTGTCTGTTTTCTTAAAATTCTTTCTTTTACTGGGCACGGTGGCGGCGTGCCGTCCTCCCATCCCTCCCTTGGCTTATGTTTTTTCTTTCTTCACTGGGCACGGGACTGGCGCGCAAAAAGAAACAAAAGTCCCTTGCGTCTGTGCTTGGGGTGATAAGGGAAGGTGGCGAGCGGGTGCGTGTGGCGCTACGAGAGTAGAAAGAGAGAGAGAGAGAGGCAATACCAACAACTTTTTGTCGAGAGTAGTGTGGTATCGGACACGGCTCCGGGCTCTGATGCTGTGAAGGTAGCGGGTGCGTGTGGCGCTCACCTCGGGAGAGACTCTCTTCCACCTCCTCGGTGTGCAGCAGCGAGCCAGCGAGCCGAGGGTGCCTCCCAACGCCGCGCAAGTACCCGTTTGTGACTTCCCTTTTTGGAATTCTTCTTCTTGACTTCCCCGAGCCAACACGGCGAGACCGGCTCCGGGACACCGGCTTTCAAAAGTTGGTCGTGTCGCGAGAAAGGAAGAAAGGAAAGTTGCGCTAAAACCAAAACGGCGCGTCCTGCATGGAATTCCCCGCATGGCCGGCATCCGAGAGAGAGCAGAGATTTGTTGTTGGCATCCGCCTCCCAAGGTCCCAGTGGCAGAGCCCAGCTCCACGAGTTTGCCGCTTGAGCCGCTGAAACGACAAAAACAAAAATCTCTCTCTCTGAAACGCGAGCTGAACAGCTGATCTTCATGGGACATGGCATCGAACGGGACACAATCTGAGAGAGATATTTTTAGCAATACCAAACAACAACAACAGGTATTGCAAAAATCTCTCTCTCTCCAAACAAACAACAACTCTAAACACTCACACGTTTTGAGAGAGATTTTTAGCAATAACAAACAACTCTAACACTCACACGTCATTTGGGGCCTGGAGCCCTGTTCACGCGCGCGCGAGACGTGCAGACAGGGTTGCACGTTGTTTTGCACGTTTGTTTTCACAATCTCTGCAAGAATGGCTTCGGCCATGGGTGACCTCCTGCTTCCTCCTGACCCGAGCTCAGATGGCGGCCAGAGCAGAACGTGCCCAGAAACGGTGCAAAAACGGTGCAGCAAACGGAGGCTTGAGAACGGCGTCTCATGAGGGCGGTCTCGAGCCTATTTCTGTGATCTAATACGTACACGTCTATGCTGTCTCTCGTAACCACTTCCCCGCTCGCCCTATGGTTCTGGCAGACTGCCACACCACCACCACCTCCACCGCGCCCGCCACCGTGGTGGTGGCTGCCTCCGCCGAGTCCGCCAAGCCGTCCGCCGGGACCGCCCACACCGCCAGAGCCACCTCCTCCAATCCATCCTTGGCCGCCCAAGCCACCGCCGCACAGCCCGCCCCCGAAGCCTCCTGCACCCCCCTCGGTGCCCCCTGCGCCGCCGCCATCGCCGCCACCGCCATCGCCGCCGCCGCCATCGCCGCCGTCGCCATCGCCGCCGCCGCCATCGTCACCGCCGCCGCCGCCGCCCCCAAGCCCTATCGACTGGTACACCGTCTACACTCGCACGGCCCTAATGGCTTTGCCCGGGCCCGTCGCGGAGAGGAGCGTCCAGTGCGAGGCCGCGCTTCGTTTGAACGCCCCATCGTGTGCGTGTGGCATTGTGGGCACGGAAGGTGGGCACAATGGGACCTAATGCACATCCGTGACACATCTCCACACCCCGCCAACCTGCCCAGGTACGTGCTGCCACGCCAGCTGCGGCACCTGCGGCGACTCGCCAAGTGCCTGCAACGGCCTGGGCGGCCAGGCATCTACAGCATCTGCTGCGCATTCCTCTTTTGCATTCATTATCATGACATGATGTTGTACTGTGCAGGACATCTGCTGCGCCTCGCGCATCATCTTTCGAGCGGCGCCGTGCCGCCTGCCTGGTGCGGAACACTTCCACAGGCACAACTTGCGACACTCTCTCGCCGCGGCGCAGCACCCCGCCCCGCCCCGACACAGGTGAAGTCGGATGCGTCGTCCAAGCCTCGCCGCCGCTACCGCCTCCGCCGCCGCCGTCGTCACCGCCGCTGCCTCTTCCGCCGCCGCCGCCGTCCCTACCACCACCGGCACCGCCGCCGCCGCCGCCACCGTCGTCACCGTCATCGCCATCGCCGCTGCCTCCGCCGCTTGGGCCGCCGCCGCCGCCACCGCCGTCACCACCGCCGCCACCGCCGCCGTCCCCACCACCACCGTCACCACCGCCGCCACCGCCGCCGTCCCTACCACCACCGTCACCGCCGCCGCCGCCGCCACCGTCGCCACCGTCATCGCCATCGCCGCTGCCTCCGCCGCTTGGGCCGCCGCCGCCGCCACCGCCGCCACCGCCGTCACCACCGCCGCCACCGCCGCCGTCACCGCCGCTTGCGCCGCCGCTTACGCCGCCGCCGCCGCAGTCTCCGACGCTGCAGGATGCACTGGCGCTGTGCGAGTCTGGCTCCGGCTACAGCTTTGAGTGCTACCTCGCAAACTATGCCGGCCTGGCTACTCATGCAGCCCACGACCCACAGCAGGGACCACAGCTGGCGCGCCGCCACTTTGAGAGGCTGTCTCTTCTAGGAACCTTCTACGAACCTTCTAGGCCTTCTAGGCGCGCCGCCACTTGAGAGGCTT